TCATGTAAATACTTCTTTATATAATTTATTATCAAGACTGCCATTTATTTATTATAGAACTTTCTAATTCTATACTCAAGAGATGTGCTTCATGCAAATACCTGTTTTATAAATTATTATCAAGACAGCCAAATATTTATTATAGAACTTTCTTAATCTATATTCTAGACCTGTGCTTCATGTAAATACTGTTTATGAATCATTATCAAGACAGCCATTTATTATAGAACTTTCTAATTCTATATTCAAGAGATGTGCTTCATGTAAATACCTTTATAAATTATTATCAAGACAGCCAAATATTTATTATAGAACTTTACTATTCCATATTATAGGAGAGAGCTCTGTCCTTCATGTAAATACTCTTTTTAAACATTTATGTCATCAATACAGCCAACTAAGAGCTGTGCTTCATGTCAATGCTCTTTTTATATCAAGACAGCCATTTACTTTCTAAGCCCATTCGAACGAGACGAGGTGAGATTTACGAAAAACTTAAAAGTTCTTGGAGTTTATCTATATCATTGCTAATAGTTGCTTTCCTTTTAATTGTTTTCTTTCAGAAGCACCAGTTCTTGCATGGGTGAATTCGAACTCTACCAAGTAAAGTTTTGAAAAACCAAACAACGGCTCTTTTAAGAGCCACCACATATGCTTAAAGTCATGACTTTTTATGTTGCAAATAAATTTATACTGACAAAAACAAGTCACACACACGCCAAACAACGGAGCGAAACTACATTGGTTAGTTGCCCTAAACCGATGCGTTTAAATATTACATCCGTTATAATGTTTATTAACTAGTACGATGATTACAAAATGATCATAAGAGTGGTCATGGAAAAAATCCAACCGCAACCAACGAAGAAAAAATTTTCTCAAACCGTTTCGTTGAAATTTATCTAAATTATTTACAGCGAAAGCACCTCACGGCTCTAAATTACGGGTKAAATGTAAACATTTAATTTTGGWTTCAYYTAWTTCTGTTATTCCATTCCTCATTTTGCTTAATTTTTATCATCGGCCTTTGGCGAGCTTTCTTTTAACAAAGTCGTAACTACTAATTGGTGCAAATCCCTGTACGCTTAGTCGTGCCATGTTGTGCTTCCTTTTTCCAATATTTTTGAAGATTAAACAATTTTCTTCCACAAAACTGATTAGAATCAATAAAATTTTAATGCTTTTTGCCTAAGACAATTAGGGTTTACAATGTAATCAGCATTTTGTTCGGCGAAGTCTGCTTATAATTGAGCTAATTAGGTCAGTTTACCGGCGAGTGTTTGAGAAGTTTTTTCTTGTAGTGAAAATATTTTTTTTAATCAGAGATTTGGGACGGGATATATAAACATTTACTTCGTTAAACATTGGATGCCTAGAGATACTATCATCCATCCATCCATCCATGCTCTTAAATTGGATGGCTAGAGATACTATATTTATCCACGATCCCAAATCTGGATCTAGAAGTCGTTGTATTTACATAACAGTTTTTAAAAGGCGGGATGTTTGCAAACCGCGAGCTTTATTCACTAATTAACTTGAAAGGCTAAAWGTTTTCTTTGAGAAACATCAAACAATGAAGTTCGATAATCCCTCAATTAGAAAGAAAACAATCGAATTATCAACCAAACGYCCACAGCTAATTAAAGAAATCCTTTTTAAACTTGAAGTCGGACGACAAAGGAAACAAATAATAGAAGTTGAGCTCTTCAACCATTGTGTTTTGTTATCCTTTACGAACAATAGGACATAGCCTATAAAGGTCTGTTCACGAGGCAATAACGTATTTCATTAGTAACTTTTGTAAGTGAACACGAGCCAAGTCATGTATTCAAAATTCCGATTAGAAACCCCAAATTTTCCGCCCTTCTCTCCCTTTGACGAGTTAAGATTTTTGAGAATGCAGCTACAAGCTACAACCAATGTTTTTAGAGGGGAGAGTTCAAAGCAAGCAGCCAAAATTAAGGCATGCCAGGAGGAGTTGGTGACTGCAAGGGGAGAGGTCGTGTCTCTTCGTGAAAAGTTGAAAACCGCGTTAAAAAATAATGAGGTGAAGTTTTTTCAGACCAAGCAGTCCTTCTGGGAACTGTCAAAATCTGCTAAATTCTCACGAAAAAGAAAAATTATTGAGTTCTTGAGGAAAACACTGAAAAAGCTCCCCAAAGAATTTAAACCCGTGGAGGTAAGTTTTCGATTGAACAGACGAGCTCCTCGTTTTATCTTGTTGATGATTCGAATCATGCATTTTTATTTAACCTTTCGTGTTTTTTTTATTATCATTTTACCAGATCAAGTTCCAAGTAGGTGAAAGGGATCTTATGCTGCCTTTGGGAGACCAGCCTGATATAGAGGACGAGGAAGTAAGTGGAGAAGATGAAGAAGATGAGGTTCTTGGTATAACCCGTAGAGTTCTGGCGGCAAAGGACCGCGGGTTTATCAGCGACGAGGCATTGCACGAGCTAAGAATGGCCCTTCCGATGGAAATGCGAGAATATTTTCCAGCATTAAGCCGAATAAAAAAAGAAAGAAAGCAGCAAAACAATGTATTAGAAATACAGCTTATTTCTGAGGTGAGTCTTTTTCTTTACTTGCAGTTTTTAGTTGTTTCTCTCTCTTTCTCTACTTGTTTCACTGTTAATTAACAGTTTACTTCTACTTTACTGGAATCATTAATTCTGAATAAAGCTTATAGCTCGGATAGCCGCTATCGGTTCTAAAATCTCTTAAGATCTTCCAATGACTAAGATTTTCTTAA